TTTTTTTTTTTTTTTTTTTTTGACGATTTTTCCAACTTGTAGTTCTCGTGGCATGTTCAAAGGGTCAAGTGAACCTCCTGCAGCTCAAGTTGCTCTAGCTGCGGTTGCCAGTAATATCCAGTACATGAAGTTCTTCTATTGCAATACACATCCTGCCGATCTCGGCCAAAAGATAACGTGCCAGATTCTGGCGTGGAGACCCAAGCTAGTCATGCAATAAAGCAGCGGAATTCAAAATCCAACCTGGGCTGCATCTAGCTGTTTGCGTGAAACTGGACATTGTCCTGTCCTCGACTTGGGTTTCAGGTTCGCCTTGACGGTTGACACGCTGCTGCAAATCCAGATGTTCCAGCGGAAGTGCGAGGACTTAGGGGTCCCAGCAGCTGACAGGATACTGATCACATCACGTGTTGGTACTGTGAAGTTCCTGCGCTGACGAGCAGAGCATCAAGGGGGCCTGTCGCGTTTTTGGCACTTGCTTTGAACTGCCATCCTCAGATGGAGACTGCAGTCCAGAGCTTGTGTGATGAGATTTTAATGCGAGTTTTGCGTGTGCGCCTCATCTGCTGCCCACAGGGCTTCGGATCTCTTGTTGCTTCTGGTGCCTTCAGCGAGCAGGATCAAGAAACTTGCATCATGCGATATAGGAATACACTAGACAAACCGCAGCTGTGGGGACTCCATATCTCTTGGCACTGCAATAGCAATCCATCTCAAGCCCACTAACTGCGAACTGCAGAGTTTGCTGTCTTGAGTGGCAACTGGCAAAATCTGAGCACCATCCAATTGGTACTCAAGAAGCTCGAGGCGATTGTGGTGAAAAAGAATGGTGGGTTACCGTCGAAGCTACTTTTTCTGTTTGATTGCGGTGAATTCGATTCTGCCAAGGCGCTGCTTGCTTTGGCCCAGCAAGGCCAAGCCAGCCAGGGCCTTCCCGGGCATAGGTTGGGTTCTTGTCGCCTTTGCATTCTGAACCTAGGCGTTCCAACTTGTGCCATTGTTGGTCAGGGGCCCTCCACTCAGGGTCCCGAGCAGCTGAGAAAGTTAGGGCAGGTTTCATGAAATCTGTTGAGGTACGATGATCCTGTCGTCACGTCAGTCAATGGTGGCACGGACGTGGCTGACGCCAGCGTGTGTCAGCAGAAGTGCGCTGGAGACCAAGTCATCAAGAAACTCTTCGACTTTGAGGCTATTGCAGGAGGCAAGTGCCAAGACTCTAAGGCACAGCACTTGAATTGCTCCGCTTGGGCCGTAGTGCTCGGGGATGCGTGCAAGCAGGTCATGGCGTTGAGAAGCCTGAAAGCTCAGGTCTTTACGTACTACCTGGAGGGTGGAGGCGGGGTGAGACGAAGGGTATCCCTGTAATATTACTACTCTTATATATTGCACTATTACATACTATATATTACAATTACAATTACTAGTACTATTACTGCCAGCATTATATTGCTAATACCTGTCTGGAGATGTTTGGAGGTTGTTGGCTGCAGGGCTCAGGCCTGGTGGCCAAGGCGATTCCCAATGCCGTGGCGGGCCCCAGGCCCGGCCGCACCCGGCTCCAGCCGCACGGCTCCGCCGAGTTTTTGCGCTGCTCCGTCTCGTCCTCCTTCCTTCCTTCTTTCTCATCTCATTTCCTTTCTCTCTTCCGCCGCTCTTGCTGTCTCTGTCCTTGCGAGGTCCTGCAGCTCGCTGAGACCGAGCCCAAGCCCCGCCCCGGTCACCGCCCCAGCCGCGAGCTCCGCGAGCTCTGCGAGCTCGGGAGTGAGCCCGGCCATGAGCCCTGAGTGGGAGGCCGGGATTCTCGGAGTGCGTAGTGAGTGTAGTGATGCTCAGCTCGTTGGTCGGGAGCCCTGGCAGGTTCTGACCACAACAGCGATGCCAGCCCGGTTTATCAAGGAGAGCACTGCGAAAGCTGCCATGAGTCACATTGAAAATTCAAGCTTCTTTAGTCCCTCACAGGCTGGAAGCGACCTCTACTTTGCAGAGGGAACCAACCCTCGGAGGTGCGCTTACGCTCTTCACTTGGATTGGCGCATGCACAGTCAGAATTGTCAGTCTTTTCAGGAAGCATCTTGTCCGCTTCAGATGCTATGGCTGTGAAGAGGCTTGCAATAATTACGTATCTGCCTACCTGGCCTGGTTGTGGGACTGCGCAAAGCACGCATTTTGCAGTGCGCCGAACGATGCTACACGATTCACTATGATTCATTCTTTAGGGTCGAATGTGCCAGGTGTCTCCAGCCTATGTAGCATGGATCTGAGAGTCAGTGACATCGAGATGCAGCTGCCCCTGTTTTGTGTCGTCACCAGGCGTCGCTGAGTCTGGACATTGACTTCACCTGCTCTATGCTGGCCAGAATCCTACGGCAGAAAGCACATCGTGTCGCATCCCTCCTTTACCCGCCGCTGTGAGGAAACCACCACAGCTGCCGGGCTCCTGTGGAGATGCCTGGGGAAGTCAATGGCATATAGTATACTATAATATAGTATACTATAGTATAGTATCGGCAAAAAATAGTGTAATGTAGTATAATGTAGTATAGTATACAACACTGAGGCACCTCTACTGGTTGTCGGCAGCTCTGGCTCGCAGGGTGAAGAGGCTGGAAGACTCCACAGGAAGAAGTGTCTTTTCACCCCTGGTTGCCGGTTGTCGGAGGATGCTTCTGGAGTCAACCCCTGGGCGTGGCCGCTAGCCATAGGCCCATGGCTTGGTTGAGCTTTACTTATGGGCCGTTCTCCAGCTTCGCATCAAACAGGGCCGCTTTGCAGGTTCCAAAAGGGTCGGGTCCCAATAGGCAATGTTATGACTGACTGTCATCACATCGTCCCCGCTGCCGCCGCCATAGCCATCATCATAAACCGTCGTTGGTCCTGGGAATGACTGATATCAACATGCACGAGAAAACCTGAAAAGTGCAACATAAATGGCAATAATGATGAACGAGAGTATGCGCGGCAACAGCACATAACACAAGCATGAATCATTATCGCCAACGCTGTGGTCATCAGAGCGCAACAGCTCATGTAGGAACGGTATCGGCATAACATTCCTAGCGGCCATCGCCCACCATAGACCCAACACAGGCAGGCAGCTTCAATGTCAGTAGAGAGCTGGTAACAGCAACGCTGCCTTGTTAGGAGTTTACCGGGATGGTGATAGTCATGCAGATAGTGTTGGTGATAGCGACAATGACCAGCAGCGGTAATAATATCACTTGAGATCGAAAGTGCTTACCCACAGCATTTCCGTTAATTGTACACGCAGCCGGCAGCCGGGTAGGCTTGCATGTGCAGGTGTCTTGCTCTGTTGTGCAGGCCTGAGCTTACTCAGAGTACGGGTTAACCAAGAATAAAATATGCGGACTTAATGGGTGGACCATCAATTCTGGTGAGAGACTGCCGCACTTCCAAGGCTGTTTAGCTTTCTTCTTTTACGATCAGGATTCTCGCAGGACAGCAAGTAGAGTTCCGTGGGCTGAGACGTTGCCATGCAGCTTGCAGGAAAGTGACGCAAAAGCAGTTGAAGAACGGCAAAGGCCGAAGACGGCAGCCAATATCTGTGTGGAAGATGCAACGGCAACTGTTTCTTTTTTCAGGCCAGCGCGCCGAGAAACTTCCTCTTGTGACGGGGACCGGTGCTCAGCTCGACGAGCGCTGGAAGTTCAAGCATTACGTCTGCGCGCTCTGCAGGAGCTCTGTGCAGGGCTGCTTGGCTGTGAATATCTCTTACTGCACGTGGCAGTGGCTTTGTGAAACTTGAAGGTGAGCTGCCACCTTTACCCGCGCACCTTTTAGGTCCAGGCGGTGCAGCGCACAGAGCTCAGCTCCAGATGACAACCTCAAGCATCACGACATGGCCTCGCACGGCTTTCTGGCATATTGCCTTGTTGCCCTTCAGTCCCAAAGGCCGGTTGGCCCTGCTCCTGCAGCCCAAGTCGAGTCGGCAAAGGCCAACGCAATGCGATTTGTGGCTTGTAAGATTGTAAGCATCGCATTGACTTGCTTCTCAAGGGGCCTCGCCTCTTCGCAGCGTGAGCCGCTCTCCTCCCACCCAGTTCCAGCATCGCTGTACGCAGACGCGGCAGAGCCAATAGAGGCCTTTGCTTGTCACGGGGTGCTGGACATGACTGAGGAAGATGAGCAATGTCCTTGATCCTCCGGAAAGGGGAATCGATGACAAGGTCCTGTCTTTTGGCCCGGCGAGGGTCGAAGGCAGCCATTCAAGTAAATGTGTAGTTATCATTTGTGGCATCGCAGTTGTCTTTTGTGATTCAAGTATCATGTTGTCTATGCCAAAATGAGACAGGTCTCATTCATTCTAATGTTCAAGTCTCACCAGTGCAGAGTGCGCGCAGGCAGCGTTAGGCCAATCGTCAACAGAGCATGCTGCCATGCATATGAGTGAAATGCATGTTGTTGGTTGTGCATTCATTTTATTGGAGCCTATGGAGATTCTGCAGCAATTGGGCTCCGTCCGCGGAACCACATCCGAGCTGACGAGCAACAAACATGGATTGGCCAGCACAGGGTTCTTTCAGCAGGGCCAATACAGTAGGTAGATGCGATCAATTTGAATTCCGCAGCTTCAGGGGTTCCCAGCCTCAGTCATGCCCAAGAACGTTTCAAGCCAGAAAGCATTTCAAAGAAGCTGGAAGTCAGAACTGTCAGAACCAGCAACCCCCAAGCACACGAAGTGCTTGAGCCTAAAAAGTGGTTTAGGCTACTCTATTCTTGAGTCCACGAAGACAGCTCAGCACAGCTGCCCAAGAATCCCAGTATAGCCTTCGCCTTACCCTTCTATCAGATTCCGAAGTAACGCCGAATGCCCTGAATCGACTCGTATAATCAGACATCGTAGCGTGTACCATCAGCTGACCAGCTTCAGGGCCATGGCTACAAACTGGCTGGGAGCCTGAGCATATGGGCCGGTGGTAAAGAATGAATCATGGTCCGTTTGGGGTCCCCATCATAATATGACACCTACTACTTACTACGTAGGGTACCAAGAAAGGGCACCATATCTTGACAACCTTCCATATAGTTCTCAGACATATCAGATCTGCATTCCCGTGTGCCCAGGGCGAGCCTGCGAAATAAGTTTCGCACGGACAAGCGCTGCAATGAGAGCTCCTGCCGAGACCGGCCCGTGCACTACTATTGAGGGATGAAATCTTGCACCACTTTATTAGGGTCACCAGTGCACTGCAATTTCCAATATTTGGGATACCTAGGGTGGTGCAAGATTTCAGCCATCAACAGTGAGGCTGAGAGTTGTCTTGATCACAGAATCGTATCTGCAAGGTCGGATACGGCTGATGCGGACGATGATGAGGCATCAGCTAGTGAAGCCTCTGGGGGGAAAAGACTGAAGGCTTCAATCTTCGGCTGAAAGCTGAGGCCATCATGTCAACACTGTGAGCTGGCTTTCGGGCTATTGATTATCGCTCCATCTCTGTCATTGGTATCTCGGTCTCTCGAAAATTTGCTGGCTTTGTCTGTTTGGGGCCCATGCGTTGGCATGAATTTGGCCCCTCAAGTTGACTGACTGCTTCTTTAGACTAAGTATGCCAGCGCGCAAGTCGTCACTCCAGCGATTTTGGCAGGCGTTTCGTTTTGAGGTCATCCGGACATGCAGATACAAAGGGCATCATACACGGATAGCTTTTCAGGGTATTTGATGAAGCGAAGGAGCGCGAACGGGTCCGGAATAGGAATAATCAGATGTGGACTGTTGAAAGCTGCGTGCGGCTTTTTCGCAAGCAGGCGGAGCCGCCAGACCGCGCTGAGATTGGAAGAGCTGCTTGGAGATATCTCCACTCTGTGGCCGATGGCTTGGGCCATTGCGATCTCTTCGTTTGGTTTGTTGGTGGCAGAGCATCGGCGAGGCGGCAGAACATCCAGAGGCAGCTTCCGAGCTAGAAAGTACGATGGCGCAGGCAGGAAAAGGTGAAGCAAAAGCAAGGAAGGTTTCTCAGAAGCAAAAACTTAAAAGGTGTCTCTCACTTCGTAGCCTTTTGGAGGCATGGCTTGCAGCCTTCGTTCAGACATATCCGCTGCAGCCTCAGTTCTGCAGGGCCACGCAGGGCCACGCTCACTACACTGCTGACTGTCGGCTAACAGCTAACCCAGGTGTTCGCATTGTGCCTCGCACTTCGTAGATGTTTGCGAGGCTACTTTGTGGTTGTTCTTCAGGGAACCTGCCTTGATCATGTGGCTGCCTGATGCAGGCCATGCCACCGCAAACGCTTTCTCGCAAAGACTACGCTGTTTGCCAGACACGATTGTGGAAGCCAGCCTAGCTTCGTGGCCAAGGGAACTAGATCCAGCCTTTGGTGAGAGGACGTCAGAGCTCTCTTGTTGGGCGGCATAGCAAAGAGCATGTGCGCTGCTGTTCCTTGGATACCAGGTGTGGTGGTGCGAGGCGCAGGATGCTCAACGCTCAAAGAAAGCAGTGCATTGACAGGTTTTCCTGTTTGTCTAAGGCACAACAAGGTCAACGAGCATCTGAAGAACGAGCCTAAGCCTCAGAATAGCCAGCGCAAAACAACAGCCATGACTGAATGACTCATGCAAATCATGCAGTCGGCCGAGGACCGTTCGCTGCGACCCAAAAAGGCTGATTGTAGCAGGGCCTTCGACCAAGAAAGTGCAACTGCTTGCGTGCGTCGTTGCCGGTAGCGAATGCAGAATTGAGGCAACGAGGTTTGACTCTGGATGAGTTGCAGGCAGAGTGACGGCAAGAGAGAGGAAAAAGGCAGTGCGCTGCAGAAATGTTACTTGGATTTTATTCTGCACAGGTTGATTTGTTGTGTCCGGATTTGTCTTGTACCCTCCAGGTCAGAATGTGATCCCCAGTCAAATCCCCCTTCCGCCCGACTTACAGGTGGCTGGCGCTTTTCCGGATTTTGTTCCTCAGTGGATGATCCGTAGTTTTCGTGCGTTTCGTGTGTGCTTTTTGGGTTGTCCGCTCGTCCTCCGCCTTCTTCGTGTAACAGAAGCCAGCCAAAAGAACTAAATGCGTTGTACCCGTCAATTACGTATGCGAAGCTACAAGAATGGCATCGAGACATCAACACCCAGTAAAACCAGAAGGACATTAAACGCACTACCTTCATTCACTCCACCAATCAAGCATCTTACCAACCACAACCCTGAAGCCAGCCTATTTGTTCAACAAGTGCCCACCCCACGGTAATGTTTGGAATACACATCTGCTGTATCTGCAGATTGCTGCGCCATGTTAAAGTTACGTTGCAGATAATTGCGACAATGCTTTGCGCCTTGCGCACCAGGTCGAGTCGAACAATCCTGTGTTCGCATAGAGGCTATGTGCCTTCAACATTTTCTGTGGTTCAAAAGGTCAAAGATTGTCGGACTTCTGGGCGCACATCGCGCTGCAGCTTTGCTCTCTCACAACTTTGCACTTCCGCACTTTGCTTTTGTGTTGCTCCCGATGTTGTGCTCAAGACGGGTTGGGTACGTTGTACCTTGGGTTTGTGCTGTTGCTGGCTGTCACGTTAGCTGCAAATTGCTGCAAGATGCGAACATGTTGCAGGGCTGCTTGGCCAACCTCCAGCTTTCTTCACTGCTCTCATCCTCGTGATCTGCCCCGTGCAGTGAAAGTAGGGCTTCCACAAGCTTGCCTTCAAAGTTGCACACGTGTATAATTGAGAGAATGGCTGGGTGTTTCTTGAGCTGCCGCATGTTTTAGTTCGACCCCTGATCACGTCGGTACACCCCGGCACGCACTTGCGCGCTATGGCCACGGATGCCACGGTCGGGATTGCAAGCTTTCACAAGGAGCAATTGACTTCAGCCTTTTTCCGCAAGCTAGCTCCAGCAGTACGACTCGACACCATTCAGCCTTCTGAGCCGGATGATGCTGACTCTGATGATCTCAAAAAGCAGCAAGTGGTGAGGTTGGCCGATGGCGGCTATGTGGATAACACGGCGGTTGCCTTTATCATCAAGCACCTGCAGGACAATGGTCTCGGCGAAGACTTCCGCATTGTGTTGTTCATGAACACCACATCCAAGAGTGTGCAGATGGGCAGCCACAAGATTCCTGGGGACATTGCCCGCCTTTTTGGAGGATCCAAGCTGAGCTCCGAATCCGACCTTGCCAACTCCAACCTAGACAAATTCCCCGTGACGGAATCGTTTAGCTTTGACACTATATCTGCACATATCTTTGAGAAGGCGGCTTGGGACAATGTGACAGAACAATGGGCAACCCCTGAGGATCCGTTTCGTTTGCGCCATTTTGCGCTGCAGGTGGAAACAGTGAACAACCTTGCCTTTGGTATCAAGGCAGGGGACAAAGGAGAACTCCTGATCTTCATATCTGAGCACACGGAAGCCTCTATTGTCCCTATGGGAGATGACGATTTCTTGAAGTATAAGGACATTTACACCAAGACCCGTGGCATGATGAAAGAGCGCCAAGAGCGCATTGACTCGCTCAGAGCAGCCATGGGAATCATAGCTCCAGAAGGCAGTGTGAAGGTCAGGGTTGCCTTGTCAGGTGGAGGTTGGCACAGTCACACCTGCCATTCAGCCTGGTTTGCAGCCATGCTTGATGCGCCTTGGGCACCCACGCTCAAGCAAGTCTTGCACAACGTCGATGTGATTGCTTCCAACTCCGGAGGCAGCTGGTTTTTGTCAATGCTTGCGTTCTCCAAGGCATTCCGCGAGTCTTTGGAAGTCAAGACAAGCCGAGATCAGTGGGCCATGTTGAAGCCGGACGCTGACGCCAACGGTTTTCTGGAGCAAACGCGGATGGCATTTGGCAACTCTTTTGTCGAGGGTTGGCTCCCAGAGGACAAGCTGCCCGTGTATCGAATACTGCGCTTGGCTCTTTGGCATCTTGGGGTTTGGTTTGACTGGGAAAAAGTGGTCAAAAGCTTGGTGTACCGCCCCTATGATATGAAGACGGAGCTGGAGAACGTGAGTCTGTCTGGGACGTGCCAGGATTGGGTGAATGGTCCCACCTGCAAGACCCTCTTGTTCGCGACTGCGCTCATGACCGAAAAGGTGGTTCTTTGTCACCATGGCTGGAACAAGGACGAGCAAATGTATGACGTAGAAGTTGAAGGCCAGAAGATGTTTACGCCAGTTGTCTTTGCGCGTACTGCTCCCGACCACATCCCTCCACACCTCTTGACCATTGGGAAGGAGGCGGCACTTGCCTACACAAGCAGGAGTACTTGGAGCGAGGAGCCGAAGGGCAAGGTTGTTGTGAATCAGGAGGACAAGAGGGATGGCATTCGAAGCGCTGCAGCCAGAATCAAGGTTATGGATGCCGCTGCGGCTTCATCTGCAGCAGCGGCATGTGTGGCGAGCACCGAGATGAGCGAGGCTTTCTTCAAGGGAGAGATCACAGGAAGCAAAGACGGAGAGGCCTTCATGGCCGCAATTATGGCAGCAGAAATGAGGGTCGAATCGGAAAGCCCTGACGCAAAGCGGCAGAAGATTTAAGTAGGTCTATGTTTAGCCACGTCTCATGTGGAGCGGATTACAGAAAGACACAGAAAACAAAGTTATACACAAAACTCATATGCTGTTGTAAAGTTCGAACAGTTGTATAGAGTGATTTGACTGCACATGTGTACGGTGGGTGCGCAGGAGGCAAGGGCTTAGCTTCACGGGGCCTTCTTGTGAAATGAGATGGCTCCGCCCAACGGGCCAAGCTTGCATGCCTTCCGCTTACTGCGCATGAGGTTCGGCGTGAACCTGATATTTTAACTACAACATATGACCTCATGATCTGAAGCTAACGCACCTGATGATAAAGACTGGACCAGGTTGTGTCTGATTGTCTTGAGATGTTGACATCTGAGTTTCTGTGTTCAGCCATTGAAGCTAGCAACCCCTGCAACACGGCGCACGTCCTCCGGCTATTCGACGTGGTAGCTGTCACAAGAGCCGCGGTCTGCATCTCAAATGCACAAGCATGTCAGCAGATTTGCGCTACTGTAGTATGCTACAGAGATGCAGAAACCAGGGACTGTCACTGTCCCATTGCAGCAGCTGGCCACGCCTCCACTTGGCCTTCATGCAGCTGCAGCTCCAGCCGGAGTCGACAAGTTTCCGGCACATTTGGGCTTAGGGTTTAGAGCTTAGGGGTTAGCTAAAAAGTCGGCATGTGCTTCTTGAACCAGGCGCCCATTCAGAAGCCTGTTGCAAGCAAGAAGGGTTTAGTTTAGGGGTCATGGGTTAGTGTTTAGGGCATCGGGAGAAAACACAGGTGCCACCAGCTGAGTGCTGCTGTTTGTAGGTTAACCTCATCTCAGCAGCATAACTTTGAGCACCTGCACACGGATCACGCTTATCGCAGACTTGCTAGTCGTCTTGCTAGTCGTGTGCTTGAGAGGCTGGCTGTCAAAGGATGTCACAGGGTGAATGGCCGTCCCAACGTTCACCAAAACAAAATCTCTGCGGCAAAGGAATGCAGTTGTTCCATTGCGGCCTAGTCAAATTCCTCTCCGCATGTCTGGCTCAATTCGAGCATGCAGCATTTCAGGCGGACAGTGTGCAACAAAGATGTATTTGCCCAGTCAGGCTACTGAGTACAACATTGGCCTTTCTACACTGCCTCTTCAGATAGAAACAGACAGTGGTTCTGATATGAGAGCAAGCACAGATTTTGCTTCACAGGCCAGCGCCCACTGTGTAAGTGTGGGCAGTTGCTTGTGGAAGGTTGGTGTGTAAAGCGACAACAACAAACATGTAACAAAGGCCGACGCGCGTCACACGCGTCGGTAGGCAAGGCGCTCTGATGTGCAATGCACGGCTGGCTGAGCTTTTGCGCCGGTTCAAGCTGGTACCTTAGTGGAGTAGGTGTGTGTGTGTGTGTGTGTGTATGGGTGTGTGTTGGGCGTTTGGGGGTCTGAGCTTTGCCTCAGGTTGACTCCCGGCGCTACGCAGGTATGCTTGATGTTGCAAAACGGCCTCCCTTCACTTAGCCAGCCCCCTCTAGATGTTTCAGCTGTTTCAGAGGCCGAGCTACGCGGGGCCTACTACAAGCGTGCGAAGCTGCTGCACCCAGACATTGCTGGCGAGGAGCTTTGGCCAAGCCAAGGGCCGTTTCCCAGAGCTTTGGCCTGTCAGGCATCCCACGCAGACTTTCGGCGACTTCAAGAGGAGCAGCATCATGTTGCGACCATTCGTTGCCCTAAAAGTCTGGATTTCAGAAATAAATCAGGTCAAGCATGTGTTTGGGAGGGTCGCGGGTTGGAAGCGGGTTTCGGCCGAATTATGAGATGGTGCCACTTCCCCCCCCTACAAGCAGCATGTGCTGTGGTCGATGACTCTCCTTCCAAGGTCTTGACGAGAACATGCGTTGGAGTTCAAACAAACCAGCCAATCAACTGGAAGTACGCTGCAACCACAAGTTGGGCCCAGAAGCTGAATGTGTGCCAATTGGCGAACTCTCAGACGCTTGGGAAAAGAAGCGCAGTTGCCTTGGACAAAGCCGCACGTTCACAACCTGGAGGCAGCTGGAGTCGTGACACTGCGGTGTGTCTTTGGCTGCAGGACTACGATGAGGCATCGCAGCTGATGCAGGCCTCCTCCGAACAGACGCGCCAACAGATTTTGGTATCAACGCAGAGATGAGGCTGGCGACAGAGGCGACAGTGGCGCAGGCCAGGAGCTGAAAGAGAGAACATATCCTTCTTCTGGGCTGCAAAGATGTCTGTATGAGCCGTTCACCTAGTCTGAGACATGTTAGGGCATCCCGTCCCCTCGACGGTTGCAAGGGCAACACAACTTGATCACTGGATAATGCAGCAAGTAATGCAGCGCATGACACGGCATAGCAAAGGGAGGTTTCTTGCTGGGCCATTGGAAGGAGGCGAGGAAGCGAGCTGGGATGTTGGAGGCTCTGCCCGTGTCGCACCTGCATCCACAACTTTGGGTTCAAGACGTCTCCTGTCAGGCCAGCGTTGGAAGCCCGGGGCGTGGAGAGCTGAGTGCAAGGAGTGCAAGGCCTGCCATGCTATAAGCCCTGCAACGAGCATTGCGTACTGAGGTTCAGTGGCAACTTTCATGGCAACTCTGCCGGGATTCTTTCTCAGCTGTAGCGGAGGGCTGCAGCATTGTTGAAGCCATGAAGCCACGACTGAAGGTTTCGAGAAAGCGAGGTGAACTTCGACCCACGAGCCTTCCGGGAGAGGCGAAGCGATGTAAACACGAAGCGCGCCTTTGGAGCCTGTTCTGCAAGGCAGCGATCCCACACCAGGCAAGAGGGCAGCGGTTATAGTTACCAGGCCAGGGGCTGAACATAAAGCTACGTTTGAATCCTTCAAACAAGTGTGCCAAAAGTTCTATTCAGCTTGCTGTTTCGCACTTACTCGGCAGGACAAAGCTCCAAAACAAGAATCGTTTGAGAATTAATGAACTTCTGAGATAGCATCTTCATGCGAGCACCATGCAGCATGCAATCTTCAAGCCTGGGCTCCTGCTTCCTCCGTGCAAACAATTCTCCAGTGATGCGCTCGTTGAGGCTTCTGGCCATGGGTCCTCCTTCTCCAAGGCCGGGCGCAAGCTCCAAGCTCCAAGCTCCGAGCTGCGGTTTCTTCAGAACTTTGGAATGGACACGTTTGCTCGGCATGTGCCAGATTATGGGAAAGTGAGAAGTGTAAAACAAGCGACAGCGTGTTCAATTGGATAGACGGCGGGCTTCCGCCGCTCACCTTGACTTATCTGGACTCAACTTGTTCAATGCTAGCCAAGTACCCTTCACTTGGTGAGGCGCCTGGTACGGAGAGGACATTCAATCCGGCCCAAAACCTACACGCAGGCTCTCGCGGTCTTGGCAGCTCTTAAGCAATCCCATCCCAAGGCCCACATCTTCAAGGGCAGCGTGCTCATGTCAGGGGCATTCTTTGCAGGCAGGGCCCTCAGGGCACGGCTCCAGAAACAGCTCGAAGAAGTTCGTATATACTATACTATATTATAGTCTAATATACTACAATATACTGCGCCACAGTACAATACAGTAGAATATTATAGTATACTAGACTATAGCAAACCAGGTAACGCTCTGCTGCGCAGCTGGCGGCAAGAAGCTGCGGATTTTCATCGGGCACGGGGCCGAGCCATTCCTGCTGCATTGTTGTGGCTTCAGATGTGTGTTGAGCACGGCACGGCCTCCTGAAGTTGGCTTCAATGCATCAAACACTAGTAGCTTCCATTTTATTTTCCATTATCCCAATATAACCCCAAATATTACCCCAATATATTACCCCGATATAATCCCAATATTACCCCAATGGCTGCAAGGCAATGCTTCTGTTGTTTTGAGGATGAGGCAAGGAAGGGCCTTATGACCAATGAGCCTCTTCAGACCAAAGTCGTCTCTCCTGCTGAAGTCTATTCTGCTTAAGCTCTGCTATGAATGACGGAGCACGGTCTATGTCCTGTCGATGTCCACTGCAGTAGTGGCATCTGAATCTATCGATGCTGCACCATCCACTGCAAGGCTCTCCCCGGTGTCAGAAGAAACATGACTTGCTAACCATGTCTAGACCTAGAGATGGAACCATGTGAAGATTGTGAAGAAGGGGCCGATGGAACCCTCATACATGATTTCACGTGTCATGACGCGCATATGTAGACGTACATACTGGAGTAAAGTGTGTGGTCGAGCGCTGCCAGGACAGGAAGCTTGGCTTGTGAAATGTGGAGATGAAAAGGGCAGTCTGGGCTGATCTGGGCTGCATGGACAATTTCGTAGCTCCTTATTTCTTAAGAAACAAGCTTCTGTGATGTCCTTGGATATCCTGAGCAGCTGCTTCTGCACCACGCGTATGCAAGTTTACCATGTACCGAGCTTTCTTTCTGCGATGCTGGGTCGATAATTGCAACAGGCTCAAGCATTCGTCAAGAAGGCCTCATACCAGGAGAAGGTTAATCATGATGTACGGGATTGACTCATTTTCTGTGTGAGGCAGGAGTCGTGCAAGGGACGGCCTGACTCCAACATCTTAGATAACCCCACGGTCATCTTACGCCACAGTAACTTGCAAAGCCTAACGACGGCTTCACCACCCAGATCATCCACAAACGCTTCATGCCGCTCCGAGGTCTATACTTGAGCTGCGCCCTAGGTGCGTCAAAAAAAGCACGGACCGCGTGCAGCTACTTGGTGAACTACGGTTCTGGTCGGCTTTCATAGTGAGCGATAGCATGAGATGCTGCTTCTCAAGACAGCAATGGCAGATCGATCAGCGCAGTGTGATGCAAGTACAAGGCCAACATGAAACACCCGTAGCTATCAACAGCTAGGCTAGGTACTGCTACTCAGCTACGCACTTTTCATGACCCTTCTGGGTTAGCATGACCGCGGAGAGCCTGGCAGCGGCTTCCTATGCTTCGATTGCAGAGGACATGCTGGGAGATAGGAGGCTGACAGCTTGAGGCAGGCTCGCGCCTCGCGGGTGGTTCCAGTGTGCAGGATGCCCACCAGCCGGAACCTCTGCGCCGGGCGGCGAAGCTCCAGGCCAAGGCAGAGCAACTGCAGCATGAGGACCGGCTCTCAAGATTTGAACATGTCCGATCCAGAATCCAGAGCTGGGCTTTCAGGACAGCGCGGATGCGCTGGAGCCGGCCACAGAAGCCCTGCAGCTATTCCGAGAGGCGAAAGCCAACGGAGAGAATGTCTCAGCCATGTGCTTTGCACGGAATGCACTGCAAGCAGGTGGGGGCCAAGGGCGCTGAGGGCGTCTTTTGCCCAGGGAAGGGCTGAACTTCAGCAGATGGACTCACTATGGTGCAAGCCACATTCCTGAGGTGGCGGACGCTCTCCTAGTCATGATCGCTTCCATGGTGGCCTCGGGAAGGCATGTCGACCTATCATCCTAGCACAGCATGGCACGTCTGGTCGCCTTTCATGCAAGGTGCGATGAGGCTCAAGGTGGGGGCTTTGCCATGTTTCGGATCATGCTCAGAGTTTGGAAATCAAGGCCTTGCCGAGTCTGAGCTGCAGAGCTTCGAAGCGGCCAGGGGCCTTCGGCAAAAACAACTTTAGCACTCAGCCCGGGGTTTTATCATGCAGGCTGAGGACCGGGCTGGCCGGGAGCCAAAAGAAATATCGCAAAACTCTGTTTCTTCCTTCTCAGACCGCTGGAGGTGCCGCGAAGATGCGGCTCGCCCTTGGCCAATGCAGAGGGAAAGGTTCAGGACTTGGGCTGTTTAGCAATGCCTGGTCTGTATTCGCAAGTTGGATGAGCAAGGCGATGACGTGCTCCCAGATGCAGAGGACCCCTCTGCAAGAGTGCAATTCCTGCCGTTCATATGATGTTGAGCAGGACGCACGCGAAGACTTCCAGGAACTTGACCTCCCTCGACACGAGGTGCCTGGCAAGTTGCGATAGGCCCGGACCTTGAACAGCTGTGGGCACCGCAGGCGGCTGCATGTCTCCTGGTGGCGCGCGTGCAGCTTGCAGCTGGGAACACAGAGGAGGCTTTGGAGCTGGACGCCCAGCCTGCAGACCATCGCAGAGCAAGGCATTGTGTGCCGTCAACCCGTGTTACCCAGGGCAGCGGAAACGGCACAGCAGCTCTCCGAATCCTTGGGCGATGTGAAGGGCGAGGTGCTGTACTGGGCGTCCTTGTCCTTACATGCCAGTGCCTGCAGTGCTAATCGCCGCGCATGGGGGTCGTTGACCAAAGCAAGACTCCAGGATCTTTGTCAAGAGATCAGGTAGTTAAAGGAGGAAATCAAGTGCAGGCCTTGGCCGTACACACCCTTGCCATGGCCAAGTTTCGACTGCAGGCAGGGCTCGCTTAATTCCTGGAGATGATCTGAGTATTTGGTGACAGGCACAATTGCATGAGAGTGAGGGGCTGCTCCCTTTGCGAAGGACTTCTCGGGTGCAATGGCGGCGGGCCAACGTGCTTGCAGTGAACACCTCGGAGCAGAGACTTTCGTTCCTACTAACTCGGACAGCTGCCAGACATTCTCCGCCCTGCATGTGCCTTTGGACCCCCGTGAATGTAGTGAGGCCTTAGCCAGACGGCTGGGTTGAAGAAGCTGGAGGCTGGAGGAAGTGTAAGGAGCACAGTTTACGTGACTGGACTGAAAAGGCCTTTGCCGTGTGTCAGGCTCAGGCTCGGAGCAGCCTTGCCGATGCCGTGCTGAGGCGAACTGACCAGCACATGCTCGTGGCACATGCCTCACAAAACGTTCAGTCTAAGCGACGATTTCTGAGGTATCGTCCCGCGGGTGAGGCATGTAGCAATGTAGCTTGTGTCCCATCTTCACTGGGATGCTTGATGCTGTGAGGAAGGCAAGCAGTTCGTCAACGAGGTGCCTAAGAAAGCAGCTAAAGAGTTTAAGCTGAGAGCATTTGAGAGCGTGTTGGAGGCGATGGACTTGGCGGAGGCTGCTCTCCCGGCCTTTGATAGGCCGCTTCCTTAGGCCGACTCTGTAGGAAGAAGCTTGAGAACGTGTTGAGGCTGGCAGATGATACAGGCCTGAAGAATGCATGGAGATGCTTGGAGATGCTAAGTGGAAACCTGGCTGCGTCAGGCAAAATCCTCGCGACGGCCACCTCCTCAAGGCTTTGTCGAAAAGGAATTCCAACAACTCGGCTTGCACTCGCTGATCTTGCTCAAGACTCAAGACTCAAGCAATTCAAGCGTTGCTCAGCCATTCTCTTGCACGTTGTCCAACGGAAAAGCACTTAAGCAAGACGTGAGACACTTGTGGTCCTTGAAGCCTTGATCATCTCGAGCCATGGGAAACCAGGCCTGAACGTTGATAACGCAGCTTACACGCCTGAAGATGTTGATTCGTCATTGTCGCAGGACTCCTGCCTTGCTGGGTGCCTGCGCAGACTCTTTAGGCCATGGCGGCGCTTGGAGGGGGAAGTGCTGCCGAGCGATCCACCAGACTTCTCACTCGCTATGTACTGGTTGGCTCATCCGAGCCACTGGCCTACGCGACTTAGCCTGAAATTGTTTCTATGCAGTGCCGCATCTGCATTGCAGGAACATGGCCTTCCTTGTTTGAATTTGAGGAGGGTGGCGGAGAATCTGCCAAAGACCATTTACACTTTGCAGCCTGACGGAACTTTCCACTGCGAAGCAACCGACGCGTTCAGCAACTTGGTCCTCATGGAGGTGTGGCATGTGGTTTGGCGCGTGTGGTTTGGCGCATCGAGCCATGCTGGCTCGACCAAGGCGACAGCCAGTCGGAGGTGGACGCACCTGCTGACCTTTTCTACCTCCACGGCACGATGGAGGGTCTTGGCAATCGGGCCTCCATCGATCGATATGACCAGGAGCGCGGCACCACGTAGCTTAAGCCATTAAGTGCTTTCAAGTTGCCTAAGTTGCCCAAGGAGGTATGGCAGGGCTTCAACACCCGACACCAAATGACCATACTGACGGCCTTCACGTCCGCATGCCGAGCCTACGCCCCGCTGTACCGCCAGGCACAGCAAAGCCGCAGCAGAGCCCTCAGCTAAGCCGCGCCGCGCCACATCCATGGACTGAGCGCAGGCGGCAATGGGCGGTTCCTGGGACCTCGCCTATGAGGCCCAAACAGTGTGCTGCCTTACATATGCAAGTGGCTGTATACCGCTCTGCGATGCTTGATGCTCTGTGAGGATGTTCTTGCGGGAAGTGGTGAGAAATAGTAGGAATTAATGATGAGTAGTAAGAAATAGTGAAAGTGGTGGGGAATTAGTAGGAAATAGCGAGAAATAGTGAGATCTAGTGAGAAGTATTAGGAAATAGTAGGAAGTGAGGAAAGGTAAAAAAACATGGGCAAAGAATGAGAAATAGTAGGAAATAGTGAAGTATAGTGAGATACAGTGAGAAATATCAAGAAATTGTAGGAAATGGCGAGAAATAGTGAGAAACTGTAGAAAATAGTGAGAAATAGTGCAGGCGCATCTCCCCCTCGCCACATCCTACAGGATGTTCTTGCGGCCTTCGAGCAATTCCTCTCTGAAGTTGGGAGCCAGCGTCCAATCGTTCTCGCAGGCCACTCACAAGGCCATCCTTGCATCGCGATGTAGCTGTACTTGTCAATGTGCTCCCTGAGCCTGGTGTAGGATCCATCCACATCGTCCGGCTCATGAAGGAGCGCATCCAGAGCGACCCAAGCCTAATGCGCCGAATCTGCGCCGTCCATGCGCCAGGGATGGGCCGCTTTGGCTCCGTTTTTCTGGGCTTTTGAAGCAGTCAAATCCACTGTGCTCGAACATGCTGTGTCGCGAAGGCCAGTGGATCGATCCTTCGCCCTTGGTGGTGGACGGAGCGCAAAACAATCAAACGCCTCCGAGCGCACCCGCAGTGGCCATCTGGGCCGCAGCTACTCCACAGGCCCCAAAAGCAAATCTCTCTAGAGAGAAGAAGAAGAGCGAGAGAAGGAGCCTTCCTTGGAGGGGCCACCCCCGCAAACCCTTAGGGTCTTGCATGGCCCACTTTTCTGTTGATGTTTGTTTTTCGGGCTTCCAGGCAGACCGGAAATGGACACTGATTGGCTGCTCGTCTGTGCTTCTTCGCAGCATTTTGCCCGGACAGACTTTGTGTCTTTGAGGCTTCATGTCGGGTGGCAGCGGCTTCCATGACTTCGCGAACCCCTGCTCCTGGACAAGCGGGAAGCACCTGGGCGTCCTCCTGCCGGATGATGAGACAAATCAACCGGTGCTGTACAGGCCTTTTCATGTGTGGAAGGGAAATCGTGACTAGGGCCTTGGTTGATGCTTGCGGCTGAACCTCAGCTGGCGTCCCTTCCAGATGGTGTGACAGTCGTAGAGGCGTACATGGCTATTCCATGACTGTTCCTGTAAAGCTCCTCAAGACTCGGACATGTCAAGCATCATTATCATGAAGAACATGTCAAGCTGCACCGGGCCAGATGCAGCTCAGAAAGTGGCTCGTCTGGTGATATCTAATTCTGACCCTCTCATGTCGAGCTTCTGATCGTTTGACGTTTCAAGTTCGTATTCTACTAGTAGTCAGTATCTGAAGCACAGGGCCCCGCAGAGACAGGGCCACGCAGCACGTGGCTCCAGTCGTGCCTTGCCAGGGGAATGGTCCAACGGGCTGAAGTCGTCGAGGGCCTTCTTCGAGTGCACCCCTCACCCGGGGCAGAGGGCAGGCTCAAGAAGTTGCACATGGGACGCCATGACTGGGGTTGGTGCAAGAAAATGCAGCACAATACGCAACACCTTCTCCAGCAGCCTTGGGTTAACTCACGGCAAGCCAGATACCAACATGTCTGATGCCCCTGCAGGATTTTCATGCCTATGATGTGCATCTCTTCTGGGCCAACGTGCGCGAGCGAATAAAGCAACAGGCTGTCGACCTTGCCAGTAGGTGCAGCATAGTGGCATGGTGCAGCATTCACAGTGCAGCTGCTATTGAGGGCTCTCTGGCTTTGTCACCCATGCAGTGCAGGTGGCCGCGTTCAATACGTCGACGTAATCTCTCATCAGCTCTCAGCGGACAGACTTGAACAGAGAACAGAGTCCTGAGCTGTCGCTTGTAAGGTTTGACCATAGCTTCTGGCAATGTACAGTATCAGCCAGCCCGGCAACCTGCTGAAGTTTCGCGTGCTGACAGAAAGGGGTGCAGGGCCCCGGACAGCAGAAGCAATATGAAGCAATCAGGGTTTATGACCTTCGCGTCCTCACCCAAGGACCAAAGAGTTCGAGCATTGTTGGCACGCGGGGAATCTCTTCAAGCGTTGCTGCCCCAGCCATCCCAGCCGCCATCCAGCAAAGCACAGACGAACGGTGAGTCACGTCGCGTGGAGGCAAGAAGTCGCGCAGCAGGCCTTGGAGCAGGCCCGAAGCCAGACGAGCCAGGCGAGGATGGCCATTCTGCGCATTTCGATGTTTCGATGGAAGAGCCATTGCTGTGTGAGATGAAGCAAGGCTTCTGAGGCCGCTGCGCTTCAGGCGTTCGGCCCTCGGCCTCCAGTCTGCCAGTGTCGAGCAGCTCTCCGCAAGACTTTTCCACTTGTTGCTGAGCACTGAGGCTCTTGGCTGTCCACTTGGCTAAGAAAGCTCTAGATGACGCCGCGCAGTGTGCCCAGGACCGTACGAAGCCCGCGAGAGAGCTTTAAGTGAGCACTCCATCAATCCGTTAGATGATCCGTCAGGATGCGGCGTCGGTCTTGGAAGCTTTGGGAGATCGCCTCGGCGAGGCGGCCAAACAAAGACGAACGCATTTCTTTTTGGCAGTCAGACTTCCTAAGAGTCTTCCTCAGCATTTCTCTCAGACTTGCCCGAGGCCGGGGCCTGGCACGTGGCAGCGCAGCTCCACCTCCGGAAGGAACCGCATCGTCCTTCCTCTGGACCTGGTTGGACATGGCAATATGGACCTGGAGGAGAAGCCAAATGCCGCCGAAGCCCTTCGGTGTGCTGAAGCAGCACGAAAAGCTCACCGAGACCAAGGCAGCTCAGCAAAAGCCAAACCTTTTTCAAGGTGGTATGTTCATGTCAACGGACAGACCGGATATCAGGCAGCGTGGTTAGTGCTGACGAGGAGGACCTGGCATTGTCCTGCTAGCTTTTCTGAAAGGTGGTCACACGGTGGATCACGGCAGCCAGTGGATGCAGGTAGTTGAATGTTGACATGGCCAACGATGCCCAGATGATATTCATGACTAGATGCATGCCTACGTTTTGATGTTCTTGATCTGTGTGAAGTCCTTGCATTCTTCTTTGCGTGGTGGATATGGAAAACGAAAGAGAATGAACGGGATCTAGCACGAAGAAGCAGAGAGGTCGCTTTTGTTCCGGGACGGGCTTGCTTCAGAATGAGAGGCCACGGTGCTTCAGACACTCTCGGCAGCTCACTTGGCCAATGGAAATGCATCAAAGGCCCTGGAGGCGCGCGCATCACTTTCTGATTCCTTCCCCAGATTCTTGTAGCTGAGTCCAGGTGGCAGGCGTTGGCCGTGATCTTTGTAAGCAGGCGTCAAGCTGAGTGCAACAGATTTAGAGAGCCCCTGGCCTTTGTCAGTTTGGAGAAGCCGCTAGTCCTGCATCTGTCATCATCCAAATCCATTCCAAGATTGAAACTTGATTTCCTCAACCTGAAATGGGCAAAGTGGGATGACATGGGTGACATGGGCGTTCAATGGCGTTCATCAAGAGCTTCACACCTACTTGGTCTCTAGATCCCCATGTGTCACTGATTTAGTTGTAACGATTCTGGAGTTGGCCCTGCACGTCTTGGCCTGTGCCCTTCGCACATGTTGATCACACGCAAATTTGACGATTGGATATGGTTTTGTACTAGCCCAAGCTCGTCTGGGCTTCTAAGCTTGGGCAACACAGGATATTGAAGCAATTATTTCGTTGAGTCACTGCTTTTGCTTGGACTTCTATGTTCTCCTGCTCCCTACCCTGCACGTAATACAGATGATTTAGACTTGTTACTTAAAAGTCCGAAGCTTGCAGGAGACCTGTTGCGGCGTGTGTTTCTCAAATTCGGGATTCCCCCCTTCAAACTAAACATCCGTTGCCCATGAACCCTTTACGTGTAAAGCATTGGAGGCAGAGGGTGAACCAGCAAGTTCCACTTCTTTGCATCACATGCGCCGGCTGTGCTAGCGGTATCTGTTCTACTCTTGCCAATCGTCATGGACAGTTGAGGAATTACTGTTGTTGATCTCTGCGTGTTCGGCTGTAAAGGCTTGTGAAAACGAATGAACGCGGGTGAGGAAGTTTGGGGCTTCTCTTGTTCGAGGCTTGGCCCATTTATTTTGACTACTAGTGACGCTGCGAGTGGATGAATGGCTGTTGAGGGCAAGTGGGTGGATATGGAACATACCGTGGGAAAAAATCATGCTGTTTCCAAGCGGCTGGCTAATGAGGTGGCAAACTTGCTCGGCTTTTGGTGGAAAAATGTATGTTCCTGTGTGTTTTGCAGGGGGGCAGCGGCCAAGCAAACGCTGACTGCCTAACAAAGCCATGATTGAAGGTGCAAGCACAGTCTGATCAACTGTGTGTACCTGCAAGGGTAGGATGCCCAAAGATTAGAAAGACCGCCCCTGTGCAGGAGATTACACGGCCGGCGTTGCCATAACAGTTTTCCCAAACATGTCAGTTGTGCAGCTGTCAATACATGTTGTGCGCACATGTTTCGTGTGCAGTGAGTGCTTGCAACAAACATGTCAGTACATGTCAAGACATGTTGTGCGTGTGGACATGTTCAAGTGTACAGTGGCAGACATGTCTTAGAACAATGATTTTCATGAAAGATGGCAAGAGGCAACGCAAAAGTCCTCACATATCCTGTTCCTCTGTGTTTGAGAATAAGACTGATTCTAAGTACCACCCAATCAGTCCAGAGGGAGGATTGCACAAATGTGACGGCTGTTCTCATGGTCGTCAAATGCCAGCATCGGAAAATTCGGACACTGAGCAGTTAGAAAAAAATTGCAAATTTTCTGGAATGTTTGGGAGTTCTGGAGGATTGGGGGATATGGTGGTGCGTTTCCAGAAAGACTGTTGAAACTTGTGATTGGGAACTGGTTTTGGTGGGAGGGGGCTGCATGCCAAAGCAAACAAAGAGTACCCTGTACTCCAAGTGAGGAACACCTTGGTATTCTGTTTTTTTGGAGGCTTCTGCCACTGGCAGCGAGGCATTGTGCACAGTGCGAGCCGCAAGTTCAGCACTCAGAGCTGACTTTGGGAGAGCATTTGATTCGCAGGGAACATGGAGGAGCGAGCTTGGCTTTGCGCCACCTTCTTTGCGCTACTCACTACTCCGTCCGTTTCGTATCGTTCGCCGCCATTTGAAGCTCGAGCAAGGGACGTCAAGAAGCCTCGTCATTGGATCGAAGGCCTCACCATGGGGCTGTGAGATAGCCTTTGTGGGGAGTAGCGCTCAGACAGCAGGTGCAACACCTGTATGATGCTTGCATGCTCTTGCTGCCTCTAAGTCTCCTGCAAGCTGCTTGCATGCATGGGTCACCGATGGCTACTTGATCTCGATGCAGTGCACGCAACGACAACAACCACGAAGAGGGATTGCCTTGTGCAACGTTCACGAACCCATAGGGCTGTAAGTTAGGTCCTGTAAAGGAATTTGTAAGGCTTGGCTTTGGCCGGAGCCATGTGTTAGTTGGAGTCTAGAACAGATTTCAGAGCATGTCAGCTGCGCCCGACATGATTCACTGGCAGGACGTTCGACGAGATGGCTGCCCGCCGATCACGCACGCTGCCTGTCCTGGGGGCCATTTTTGTATTGCTGGAGACCCGGTGATTCAAAGCGGCACTTCCCCATGTCCTGTTTTTATGATGGGTTGAACCCCGTCAGGGTGGCCGCCCCGAACTTTGTGGGCCTCAGGCAAAGCTCTGCAGACAAAGCGCAGGGCTTTCTCCAGTGTAGTTCTCATTCACACTTCTTGACAGCATCCCAGAGTCTCGGCTGATGTTGTATTGAAGTCTTCGAGAGCTGTGTGGACTCAATCTTTGGTTTGTCTTCTACCGCTTTGCTCATGATGTCAAAGCCGATTCCAAGCAGTACCGGACGCGATGCAGGCCGACGAAACCACGCAGCGTTGCGCTACAAGCAGAACCTAAGCCTGCTTTCAAAGGCCAAATGGAAGCGTGTGTGAGTCTTCGACCTGCCTTCCGCTGTTGTGCTTCCTGGCCACCTCGATTGGAGGTGACAAGCCTACCCATCCCATCTTGGACAGCAAGGGTCTCGGGACGGGACTGTCTTTACGGCATTACCGCAGATACTGCTGAACAGCAAAGGCGGCTGCAACGATCTGATGCAGGCAGCCTACAAGGGAGACACGAAGAAGGCGCAGATTCCCACAACTTCAAAGCCCAAGCTCTCCTTGCTAACGCAGCTACGCATAGCTGCGCAACATCTTTGGCCTCCGGAGGTTAAGGAGCTTGTGGAGAAGGGCGCAGATGTCAATGCACAGGATGCCTACGGCTGGACAGCAGCAAGTGACCCAGAGCCCAGAATCAGTTCATCTTGCCAGGTTGCAGGCACTTGCGGGCACTTGCAGGCTGAAGCTGATTTGTTTCTGATCAGGTTCGTTACGCTGTCAGGAACAGGCATGGAAGGGGCTTCACGCAAGACGCAAGCTGAGCAAAACACCGCTGCCAGACAGGCAACTGGACAGTGTCCAAGCTCTTCTGGACCTGGGCGCTGATGTCAACATTGCGTCGAAAACCGGCAGCAACTCGCCCCAGCTTGTCGCGCCCACAGATGCCCAAGCTTGGTTAAGACGGGTCTGCCAGGAACACCTCTGATGTCAGCCGCTGGCAACGGCTTGGAGGACAGCTGACATGTGAAAGGGCATGTGTCAGCTTCGGATGCCGACGAGTGACTAGGAAGTGTGCAAGCTGCTCGTGGAGCAGGGCGACGCAGATATTATGGCCTGACACCTTCATGACATGACCGTAGTGGAATGTATCGAGTGTTCGCAAGCCATGTGAGGCCGCAGATGAGGGTGGCAAGACTGCCTACGACCTGGCCCTTCGCTCAGCGCAAGTCTCAAGGCAGATGGCCATGTGGCGTTGCTGTTGAAGTCGAGGCTCTGAGGACGGGCCCCCTGGGCAGCGACTTCATCCGTGACCTCGTTGCAGGCCGGTAAGCGGCATAGGATGGCACTGGGCGCCGGCATGCGCGGGCCCGGTAAGCGGGCGTCGTCAGGCGGGCAAACGCCTGGTGCCGGTGAGGAAGGCTGGAAGAGGAACCCAGGCAGGCCGCGGGTACTAGGAACGAACAACAGCACAGTTGGCTTGATTTAGTTTCTTGTGCCAGGCTCTTGAGGGCCGCTTCCCTGACTCGCCTTTTGAGATGCGATGGAAGTCAGGGCAGTTCTGGCAGAGCTCAGGAAGATTTGCAAGCGCGGCTGGCACAAAATCAAACGCCGTGTCTGCCCTGACCCAGCTCATATCCGTTGCTATTATTTCAAATCTATATAGATGATGCTGGCAGAATGCCTTTTTCAAGATGTTTCACAGGGTGCTGGGGTACCAACAAGGAGCTAACAAATGTCCAAAAGTCTGTTCAGTTGGAACTCTTGCCCTGTATGTAGCGGGTTGAGGCACCTTTGCCAACCAATCCTGCGTCGTCAGCTTTGAAGGGACGGCGCAGACAGGTGAGAGGCGAAGGCAGCAAGCATTGCTGGCCGTATAGCTGAGCTCATACATAGTTCCAACCTCATGCCGAAAACCTGCTCCGGGACCGGTGTAGTCTGTCAAGTGCCAGTCATCAGCTCTCGGCAAGCTGTAGCAACGCAGCATAACGCAGCACATGGAGCACATGGCAATCCTGCATGGCAAGGTGCCTACATTCAGCTTGGAGATCTGGAGGCAGCTCTTAGTGCTGCCTCGGATGCTCAGGACGTTCGAACCGTCGAAGGCTTCGTGTCGTAAAAGCCTGTGCATGCTGAGTACGGAGCAGGAGCTCTTCAGAGAGGTCGGTGACCAGCGAGCAGAGGCAAAGGGACCGGAGGGGGGATGCCAAGTACTGAAACAGTTTCACGCCGTCTTTAAACGAGGCAAGCGCTGCCCACCTGGTGGCGCGGCTCCAGCTGCAGCGCCAGGCGCTGCTTCGCCTGCTGTGACTGACTGGGAGATACTGTGAGGAAAAGTAGTGAGGAGAGAAGTTTTTGGTGCAAGGCATAAGTCAAGTGGAAACAAACATGCTTTCGCCATGCTGTCGCTCCTCCGTGACTTGAATCTGAAGGACTACTCGGCAGCAAGGCTGGCGGCCGACACGGCCCTCACCTCATCACAGTCTCGCCTCTCACGGATTCTCACGATATTTCACACGGAGTTCTTCACCCCCCCTCCCTCTCAACCTTCAAGCTAAGCCAAGGCCAGGGCCCTCCTGCGACAGACGACCGAGCTGGGTCGTGAGGCGTGTTTGTTGAAAGATCGCTGAAAGGTTGTGAACGTGACTAACGCGACCCGTCTGAGAGGCTGGGATGCTACTCCTTTCTTCACAGGCCAGTGGACGGCAAAAAAAGAAAAGGCGGGAGAAGCTCCGTGACCGTACGTGACGTTGAGGCGGGAAGCCTAGAGCTGGCAGCCGGTGCTGAGCCGGGAGGTGGCAAGGCTCGGCTTCACAGCACCGGGGGGGCCCACAGGGTGCCTACTTTGGTAATTACTCGGGAAGCTGAAAGGCGGCCCGCAGCTTCTTCGAAGGGCGGGGTCGCAACAAGGCGCCATTCAAAAACAAGGGCGGCCTTGACGAGTTGTTGAACAGCAGCACGTAGCTGCTTAGCTGTCAGGTCCTGACAACTTCGAAGGAGGCCGTTGCCATGACAAAGAGGCCACAAATGCTGCGCCAAGCGAGCTGCAGTAGCCAAACCGGGTTTTCCGCAAGAGGCTCAGCAGTGACCACATGGTGCTTCTCTCGCTTGGAGCTCAGAGGTCCTTTGTCAAAACTGCGCCAAACAGCTGAGTTTCCTGAGGCGTTTGGCAGAGGCCAGGGCTAAAGTCTCCAATGGGCTCCTCGACGAAGCCGCTGAGGACCTCCAGGAGGTCCCTACGCATCAGACACGCTCTGCGATACTTGACTTCAGCGGTTGTTCCTTCTGGTTTTAGGTGCAGCCTGTGCTGCAACAGCTTGGAGACCATAGGGCCGCTGGAGCGGCAAAGCTTCTGCAGGGTTCTCAGAGTTGCGATCTTTCATTTCCGAAGTTGCAGCAGCAAAAAGCTGCGAAACACTGATTGAGATTTGCAGGGCAAAAATGCGATCGTCATCAGCATCACTCTGCTGACATGCATGTGTGTGGTCCTTGTGCTGCCCCCACAGTCTGTACGGCACACGAAAGCCTGGACTCAGAGCTTGTCGAGGCACAGCTCAGGAAAGCTCAGGAAAGACAAAAGTCCGTGACGAGAGCAAAACATGCCGCTGGCTGTCGTCCCTGGATCCATTCGTGACCGTCCACCCGTTGCCAATCACCTTTGAGTAGAAGACTGCGCAATTCCCGACACAAAGGCACCGCGCTGAAAGACAACGATGATTGGTTGCAAAGGTTTGTGTTCATGTTTGCCGTGCAGAGCTGCCCACTCAACCTTCTGCTCACTATGGAAAAGGTGTTGTGATGTGTTATGGCATCGCCGGCAATACTGCCAATGCCTTCGCAAAACTAACATTCAGGAATGCTTGAGACAAACATCGGTTGGCCGCTATCTGTTCGCTCGTTGCACACATAGCTCGGCCTTGTGGACTCTTCAGAGCACCGCGGCCCTCTGCTGCCATGCCAGTCAGAGACCTTCACGTAAAATGAGTTACAACATGAAGGCATTGATGCCGAAATGAGCTGTGTGCTATTGCTTGCAAATCGTATGTGATTGATCTTTGTGACGTGATCTGATGCTGTGCTGGGTGATGCCGTATGTCTGCAGAGCAGCAGAATCGTCGGGCATGCCCTGCGTCGCACCCTTTGAGGATCAGGGGATTGAGATAATATTGCGGCAAGTTGGCGACGAGGCAAGCCAACATCTCCATTCTCCGCGGTGCTCCGGATGTGACGGCAGCGCAGGAGGCCACCAACGGAGAGACTAAGATAGGCTTTGGGTGGAGAGATATGGAGACCAAGGCGTTGGAGTGCTTCCGGACGGCGAATAGCACCCACGAGGTTGCACTTGCACAGGCTCCGGCGGCTCCGGTGGCAAAGTGCCACAGTCTCTGCTGTGTCTGTGTGCTGTGCACCCTGAGCCAGGCCTTGATAGCCAAGCTCAGCAGGGTTGCCTCGCAGGTCCGGTTGGCAAAGACTGTAAGCCACATGGAGCCAAGCCCGACTCAGCTTGAGGTGCCCAAGCCGGTGGTCAGCTTGGCAAAGACCTCCCAGCCGGAATCGACTGCAGCAGCTGCAGCTGTCTGGGTCTTGTCTCTTATGTTGTTTGATGAAAGCAAGACCTCGTGATGGAGTCAAGGTAGCGCCGAAACCAGCAGCCATAGACAAGATGTCCCTGCGACCGCCTCAACTTCTGTCTCCCTCCTTGGTCCTTGGCTTAGCTTTTGCCTGTGTTCCCGCATCACCTTGCGGTAAGGGCGCTCCCAGAACGTGTCAAGTACACGCTCACGGAGCTTGTTGCTGAAGCAATTGGCCCCAGCCCAAGGGCCCAAGGGCCTTGAGCCAGACATAGCCTGTGATTTGCTTCCGTGTTCTGCCAGGCCAAGAAGGCATGGAGGAGGCCCGCCTTGTCACCTGCCAGGGCTTTGAAGTGAAGTCCTTCTGTCAGCGTTTGCCAGGACCGGACCTTGATGGAGACGGGCATGACTAGCATGGAGCTCACAGCCCCTGTCATTGAAGGAATGAAGTTCAGGAAAATGGCATTCGGAGGTATTGCCAGCATCATGCTCCGAGACAAGATACAGGCCAATGTCAGTACGGTATTTGTTTGCGGACGCTCAGCTTTGGCTGGCTCAGGCGGAGTTTCCCGAAATTCCAGAGATGGCCCCTACCTCAGCTGTTCTTTAAGCAGCCGCGGATTTTTGACATTAAATTGGGCAAAGAACTTGAACGGCAAGGATCTCACCTTTGTCTTTGACTACCCGACGATCCGCTGGGGCCTTGAAGAGAAGCAAAGAGAAGGGTTTAAAGAGAAGCACATGCAAATGCATATGAGGTGAGATGACCGGCTTTGTCCTGACCCAGCTCCCAAGCGACGCCTAGCGACGCGTAAGAAGAGTTGTGGAGAGTCTTCCCAGCCCAAAGTCGTGCAACATTAGAGTGCGCCCCAAAGATCTGGGCACCGCGCTATGAGGAGCAGATGGACAAAAGCTCTTGCAAGCAACTGGCATCCGTGTGCAGAAGACGTGAATTTCAGCCTTTGCTCGATAGCTTCGGTTGGAAGCTTTTAGTCTTGAAGGGGTTAGGCCAGCGAGGCAGAGACCTTCTGTAAGTGTAATTAATATAGTCAGCCATGGGTCGTCTTGATTGGGCCAGGCGCTCAGAGCCATGGTTTGCTCATACAAAGCTCGTCCGCATTCCCATTTTCAGCAGAAGAGGCCTTGCGTTCTAAGTAAGGGTGACTTCGCTAAAGCGTTTGGAGAGTTCAATTTAGTTTCTGCTGTGCCCAGAAAAGTGTTTAGTAATTTCAAGCACTTAGCAAGCTGAGTCAGGGGATGGGTTGGATGGGCTTTTCATGCGAGCCGGGACTGAGTGCGCGTAGGTCACATTCCTTATCTTGACGCTGCCCTGACACCGTATCCCGCATCTGCGGTCTGAGTCTGCAACGTTCGGGTACCATTGATGCGATGTCTAGGCAATTTTGAATCTTCAGCTTCTGCCATCCGCAAGAAGGGAAGGCCCGATAAGCACCGTGGCCAAGGCCTCTTGCGATGAAAGGTGATAGGAAGCCGGAGCCGGTTACATAAGAAAGCCGATTCGGCCAAAAGATGGATTTCTGCAAGCAGAGCGGAAGGGGGAGGTCAAGGAGCCTTCTGGAACCCTTGAGCCTTGCTAAGGCGGGATTGGGTGGGTGCCAATGGGTTGTGATGTCTTGTGGGGAAGCGCGAGCCGGCACGAGTGCCTCGGATTGCAGCACGCTTCTCGGATGAGAACCGCTCCGAAGGAGCAGGCATGTCCCATGCTTGACAGTAGGCACATGACAGACCTGCTGTTTGCTAAGGCACAAGTTTCCTTCGCGTGCTGCGTGTTCGTGAACATGGCGGCTCGTACGCACAAAGAAAGTTGTTGACGGGGGATGTTGAAAACTTCAGTTCTGGCTTGGGTGAAGCCTGCACATATCTGTATATGTACATATATATATATATACATGTATGTGCATACATATGAATACAAACTGCCAAGGTCGACGTCATGGGAATGTCCCTTAGCTTGCAAAGCAAAGTAGTCTCGTCCGACTATGCCATGCTGTATTTTTTCTCTCATTTACCATGCGATGTTGTTGCCAGCCGTCGCCATTTCTCATGTGTGTTTGTTCGAATCAGGTTCTTCACGGCACCGGGTTGCTTGGCTTGTCTGGATAATTGCGCAGAGCAGAATCAATATGCAGTTGCTACTCTTGAAGCTCAGTCATGGTGCCCTATGGCCAGCAAATCGGCGCATCAACCGCTGAGATTGCGAGCTTCACAACGGCCTCAACCTGAAAATTCGTATCATCATGTGAATCATGCTGTAATAACGATAATTCTTTCGTTTGGCTCGAACCATTCCCTTGCTCAAACTTCAGGTGCGGTTCGGCATGGCAGTGGTCTCCCTGTTGTGGATGCCCAGATTAGCAGACACGAGGGGCGTGTCACTTGCCTACACAGGTAGCTACAGCCAGGTATGACATGTATATGGCAGCTATCAGCGTTTTAGCCTCAGCGGAACGGACCCGAGGAAGCTGTGCATCTTGATCTCCGTCTTCGGAACGGCCATCGCCTACGGGCTCCAGGCCAGGCCGTAGCCTAACGTAGCTAACGTAGCTCTCCCGTGGCTTGGCCTTGAGCGCCTGAACATGGCTTTTGTTACGGACTCAGACGTAACTTGCTGCAGGGCAACGCGTACCTCTTCAGCGGCTGTGAGCGACAGCAATATGCATTGGGGCCTTCACAGGAGATGAACCTTTGGAATGGACATCAGCGGCTTCCTTTGCAGAAAGGCCAACATGATTTGTAGTGCTCTGCATGACTGCGAAACATCGCAAAGTCAACTCGCCTCCCAGGTGCACAGTAGTCAATGGCACCATCAGCATTGTCGACACTGTAGACAGCACAGTAAGTGGCGTTGCAACCGCGGTGGGCTCTGGAGGCCGTATTCAAGCTGTCAGTGCAAGCCTGCAGCACTGCAGCATGTTGGTCTGAGAGGTGTTCTCGAGTGCACTGCCGATTGCAACAACAAGGCTGGACAGCATGAAGAAGGTGTGCACGTGTCCCCTGCCTCAGCCTGTGGCCCACATTGCACATATCGCGCGCTAGGGTGGTGTCTTTGTCATGATGGCTGGCCGGGCTATAGCGGGATTTTTTGGCGGCACGCAGCCGGTCCTCCGAGCGTACGTGACGCAGATCTCTCTCCCAAACATGGCCAGGCGCTTGGGTCACTTAAATGTAAAGGCAGCCGTTCATGCCATGTGAAGCCAGTTCTAGCAATTCTAGCACATGAACCTACCTATGAGCTAGAAGGAGCTCACTACGCAAAGCCTTTTGTGGCTAGGGTGCCTCCAAGGCACTCGTGAAGCTCCGCAGCACGGTCGCTTCCATGAAGAAGGTACACTTTTCAATGATGAATTTAAGTGATTCGTCTCCAGGTTCTCTTCGCATCAATGCAGGCCAGGTTGCCGATGCCTGCCATGCAAAGGACTCTTGAGCTGTTTGCTTCGCTGCTTGCTCTGCAGGCAGGAAACTTTGCGCTTGCACCAATCGCAGGTATTATTAGCCTGCATCTTAAGGCAGCAAAAAGGCATTCGTTTGTACTTGGTTCATTGACTCAGATCAGATTGCTGTAGCTGCAGTCTGTACTTGGTCCTCAGGTCGCTTTGGACTGCACTGGCGAGTGCCTGAACGGCTGACACACTTTGATTTTTGATTCAACTCCCTCCACCCAGGCCGTGGTATGTATCCACCGCCGTTGCGGTCTTGTGCAGGGATCTTGAAGCGGAACCGCTGTAGCTGCTGCCAGTTTGACTTGGTGCAGTGAGGCTTTGTTTTTGTATCGGTATTCTTCAAGAACATGGAGGACCCTTCGGCCGAAGGCAACGCTATTTCCTGAGGGTCTGAGAGCAGCAGGACATCCGCAGGCCAAAGGACGCCGAAGCGGGTGAAGGAGGCGACCAGGCAGGTGCGTCAGCTAGCTTGTGGGTATCCATGGACTTCCGCGCAATTTGTGGGCTATGATCACCTGTCAAGGTTGCGGCAGTTGCGACCGCACCTACGCCGCACGAGGGCCCTCCACCTGTGAAGGCGCTCCAACCCCGAGCGTGAAGTCATGTGGCAGCAGCAGATCCAGAGAACTGTTCAGGACAAGATTCTCTTGTTGATGCTGCACCGGGCTTGGCCTCTTTGGACATGTCGATCTCCGTCGCGTGTTCCATGCCTTTGCTGTTTAAGGCTCGCCTACTGGTGCATCTTCCAATGCGTCGCTGCAACCCGGCTGCCGAGATGCCTGCACTTTCCGCTCTGGGAATTCTATATTTCCTTCGCGGTAATTCTATACGACTTGATCAACGTGCGCTTCGTCGAACAGTCTAAATCACCAGCAATCAGCCTCAAGCTTAGCACGCTCCAGCACGGTATCCTTAAGTTCTGAAGTCATATGTCATGTTGGCCATCCAACAAGCCAGTGGCTTCAGCATATCAGTTGGAGAACTCAGGCATTGATCTTGTTGCTGCCACTGCTGTTGGAGTACGAGAGCTTTGGGCTGATGGACCCTTCTTCTCTGGAGACTTGGCTGAGCTTCAAAAGCGGCAGAAACCCGGTCCGCCAACTGCTCAAGTAGTTTGGATGTGTGCTTTGCTCAGGAAAAGTCTCGCGAAAGCTTGGCGGCAGCAACCTCCATGGCTCCCTTGCGGCAGTCTTGTGGCAGATTGCCAGATTGCTGATGATTGCTGCCCATCTCAAGTTTTTGTGTTCGCTCAGGTCATGGTGCCTCACGGAATCGCCAACTTCACAATGTCCACTGTTGGCTTTCTAATCCTCTCGTCGAAGATTGGGGACCGTGCCCCTTGGCAAAGAGACCCAAATCGAGGTCTAAAGCTACGCGCACAGTTCTTCACTCCCCGTTTTCCACGAGAAAAGCCCAGGCCACGATGCGCATCGGCGCCACACTGGCCCAGCACTGAGCGTCAGCCGCCCCCGGGCCTCCGTGACAAGTCGCTCGGATAGCTCGGATAGCTTGGCAGGCAGCGGTGCTTCTGTGCCTCTACGGCTACGCATCGAGCCGCTCGGAGTGGAGGGCCGTTTTTAACGTTTTAAGTTATTTTCAGCAGAGAATGTTTGCTGTTTCCAAGCTTTTGGACAAACTGAGGCCAGCTCTGGCACCTGCTGGTTCTGCATGGCTTCGTGGGGGTCGGGCTGGGCCTCATGGTGACCTCACCACGGGACGCGGTGTTGGTTCAGAGTTCCGAGCTCCTGTTGACAGGTACCCGCCATTGCGCCCACCTTGCAGAGATACAACACGATGGCGCACCCGAACAAGACCTCACAAGCCGCAGCGCTGCCCCTCTTTGGCATGCAGATCGGCCAGGCTGAGTCCAGCTGCAGCTGTCCCTCATGTCAAACACACGTCCTCTCTGCCAGATTGTGGGGCCACTTCTGTTCGGTCCGTGGCTAAGGATGACCCCTTTGAGAAGCTGGCCAAGACTTCAAGAGAGAGTGTTTCGCAGCGTTTCCTAGGTCTGATTACAGGAGACTCGCAGGACCGAGCCAGGATGAACATTGCCTGGCTGGTGGCAGGCGCCGCAAGCTTCAAACCCTTCGAACATTTCAGCATGCTCATGCTTCAGGGATCAGCTTCTTAGTTGGCATGCTCCTGATGGACTTCTGCTTCACCCTGATTTATCGACATCCCGCGGCCTGACTAATTGACCAAATCAAGTTGCCCTTCCGCCCAGCCCTTTCCACTTGATTCCGAGGTGATGAAGAATTTGAAGTATACGCCAGAGCAGATCAAGACCATGCTTGAAACCAATGCGGAGGACAGGGGTGTCAGGTATCTCTCCTTCTCGAATTCTCGCCTCTCTCAAAGGCGGATCTAGATGAGTGAAGCGAGGGATCCACAGTGTCTGCCCGGCGCCGCAAACCAGGATGAAGAAATCTTTGTGGAGAACATGTCTGGAGCTTACTCGAGCGAGTTTCGAATCCGGTCCTGGCTGTTTCCTTGGCAGGTGCAAGCTGCTCCGTGGAATGCCCCTTGCATGCATTCCACTGAGTACCAATCAGCAATAACTATGTGGCTAGCTGCTAGCTAGCATCTTGCTGCATGTTGCGTTTATTCGATGGGCCGCGCCTTCCGGCGCAGTTGTTGGAGTCACCTGAACTCATTTCTGAATAACACATGCACTAAGACACTAAGAAACTCAAGCAGACTCAACTTTTTTAAAGCTGGGAAGCCGAGTGCATGAGGCTTGCGGATGCTTGCGGCTTGCTGTGGTTTTGTTGCGCTGCAGGCTGACTCGAGGCAGCCCAGAGTACCGAGGCCGTCAATGTGCATATTTGCCCGGGGATCCTTTGCTGATCACACTGTGTCCCAGCTGTGCTGTCAGGGGTGAAGCTCTGGTCTGGTGTCGCACAGAGGCATGCGCAGGTGCCATCTGAAACCGTGAGTCCCTTGCGCGCAAGGTTTGTGGAACGGATCCTCCGAGAGACCATCCCCAAGATGCGTGAGGATCCCCAGGAGCACCTCGAGGCTCCAAGTATCCAACAAGAAAAACACATCCCAAGTCCAAGCTGCTTGGCTGCCCAGGATGTGGCCGCCTGGCTTGCAAAAGTTGGAACCGAAAAGGACCTGGACTATTTCCATGCCAGATTCCCGCACGTGCCCCGACAAAGGAGGCAACGTTGCCTGCTTTCAAACACATTGTGGGCCGTGCATGCATGGAACCGGCGGAGTAGAATGACCCTGCAGGTGGCAGAGCGATGCATACGCAGGAGAACAATTCAATGACACAGCGGCTTAAGTCTCAGCACTGTACGACATACATGCCGAGGAGGCTGTTGATAATATTCTGGAACGCCTACCATACCTCTATTGTAAATGAGTCTCACGAGGGAAGCACAGATTTCCCTTTGTGGCCCTCGGGTGATGCTTAGAGCACCCACGCGCAGTTTGTTTTTACCTACTGGTTCTGTATGCTGTGCTTTTTCTTGCGTTGCCTTTTCCCGAAAAAACCTTTCCATGGTAGTGGTGCGGTAAAACGACTTTAGCACCAACTTGGGGGAGATACCCAGAGAAGCTTCCTTCGCATTCATGGCATAAATAGGCGGTAGCATACCGTACCAGTCGAGCCAAGCTTTTAGAATCCAAGAAAATCATAGCGATCGTAGCTGGGAAAGGTTTCGCGTTATGTTGTCTTGGTGCAGCGTACTAGTTTCTTGCTTTTACAGTGTAGTATTCAGATTGATCTTTTTCATACCCTCAGGTCAAGTCGATCTCAAGTTCTGACGTGTCGTCAACGAAGTGAGAAGCCGTCCTACTGTACGACTTCAAGTCAATGCCGCACCAGTCTTTGTGCCAAGCTTGGCTTAGTGCCAGCACGGCAGTTCTGCGCGAAGGTGTGTTCAGAGACCGTTTTTAAAACCTGTGCTTCATACGCCTTTTGACCTGTTGAAAATGGTAGATGTGAGTGGGTGGCTTTGCGTCAGCAACTTCAACTGATAAGTAGTTCTCATAATCGTTGAGCGTTCAAGGCGAGTCTGTAAACCTATCACCCGCTCTGTCTCTCTCTCCCCTCTGCTCTCTCTCTCTTTCTCTCGCTCATGCATCTCTCTTTCTGTGTCTTTGTCGTGTTCCGCTGTATTCCCTCGCAGCCTGCCCGACCTCGAGCTTCCAATCCCTGAACCCTTCCTTACCTTTGAGCAATGCAGGACCCCAAATGGGAGTTGGACATATCGAGTTCGTCTATGTATGCTCCAAACATACTAAACATCATATATATATATAAGAACTCTAAGTTGACTAGACTGCAGAAAGCCCCCGAAAAGCGGCACTGCTCAACTTCACAACAGATGAGCACTATAAGGCTTGAAAGCCAGTTGCCAATGAAGGCTGAGAGCAATCTGAAGATACTGGCGCAGCATTGCTTTTCAGGCCCCAGAATGAGAAGTCATTCTGGCCCAGCCCTCGTGAAATACAAGCTCTCTCCAAGAGAGAGATTTTCCTCGGGGGTGATTTTGTTGGCTGCATCCCTCAACTCTGCGAGTTCGTTCCTGGTCTCTCCAGGAACTTGTCGCGGCTGTTGGCAATGCTCTAGGATCTGCGAGGGCAGCAAAAGTACGGCGCATTGATGTGAGGTTCAGGCGGAGTGGGTTCCATGCTCCGACGTGCTCCCCGCTATGCTCCGCTATGAAGTGTAGTGTAGCTGCAGCTCAGGGCACCCCAGGGCACCTAAAAGTGCACCTCCAGCCATGGCGCCAACCAAAACCAGCTCAAAGACCTGCGCCACACAGGCCAGTGGTCCGCCTTCTTAGCACGAGTCACAGCGCAGCCACACTTCGATCTTGTTGTACTGCACTCCTCAGGAGAAGATGGCCAAGACAGAAATCTGCAAGTTCAACAGTGATGAGCTGAGAACGTGCAAGACAAAACAAGATTGCTGTGTGGGGTGTCTCTCGAGTGAGCTTGGCATACACTGGTGAAAGTTTGTGTTTCGCATAGGTGTGCCTGGGTTTGTTTAGTAGGTAAAGTCTAGATGATAGCCAATGCTGCAGTTTCAACGCAGTTTCTGTACTTGGGTAGGACTTCTTCGCATCATACATACATGCCCGAGAAGCGAAGAGACGAGATTTTTATTTCAGCCCCAGATCCAGGCATTGGCAAGTGCAAGCGTGGCTCGCAGTGCAGTGCGATCCTCACGCGTGCTATCTGCAGAACTCTCTGTCTACAAGGTCTTCCTTGTAAAGCGAGACTACTGCTAAGGCTTTGCACATGGAGTGGATGAGCTGGTCCCCAAACCTGACTTGTTCAAGACAATGTCTGGAGCTTGGCCCCTCGTATACTTTGGCCATGCTGTGTTCCACACAGCTCAAGAATCCGAGGCTTTGCAGGAAGTGGGCCAAGGCCCCGCTGCCCGGCTGAGAGGTCTGGAAAACGACGTAATGTGTGATGTATCACAGCACGGGCCGGGGGGGGGGGGG